CTGAACAATGTTCTAAACAAATCTTGAACCAAGTTCGAAACACTTAAAATCTTCATCTTTCTCATTACAAAGATTGATAGTTTTGCTATCTGATATGCTTTAAGGATAAGTAAATGTCTCCTTCCCTCTCCCCACACCATTGGGGAAAACTGACTAGTTTGAAAGGGTGCCTTTTATGTCAGTGTTCCTCAGGGCATGGTTACACACAGAGTGAATTCCAAGTTGGGAGTTCAGTTGGCGATGGTAGTTAGTTACATTTTAAAGGGTACTTTTGGGATTGAGTGTTAACATGGTCTCATTTAAACATACAACATACATAAATAAAGACTGAGCCGTAAGTGTTCGTAAGTATTCTCAATGGATCCTAAGTTCTCACATACATAAAAAAGTGCCAGTTTCAGCCTATATCAGAAATCTTAAAACATGTATTTTGTTTTTATAAACAAAACCAGCCATAGTACCTAGTTGAGTTATTTTAAGTTATTCATGTCCTGTCCCTTGAAGACTTTTCAAAATTTCAAATGAGCAAGTTCAGAAGAAATGTATATTCTTACTTTAGTGGATTTTGAAAGGATATTTAAAAGAATTTTTGTGTGTATGCAAACTGCCAAAATAAGTCTGAATGAATTGCGCTTAAGTTGTTATTGTTATAATTCAGTCATCTGTGCTCATGGTTGGTTTTAAAAGAATTTTTCACCCCTTATTTGTAGGGTTATTGATGTTATTTTTAAGTAATTCGGCAGTCCTTGCCTATATGCTTAAATTTTTAAAAAACAAACGCGCAAAACTAGACATTTATAATGAAGCTGTTTTTCAGTCACGTAGTGGCTGCTCTCAAATGAAGCTAAAAGTGTCTGAAGAATGTTCTTGTGCATATGCCAGGAAGCTTCTGGAATGGGCATATTTTTAAGAATTTAGAACATTAAACAGCTGTGATCCGTAGCAGGAGATTTAAATGACCCCATGATGACAGCAAGAACAAAGCATTTTTAAGTTATCATGGTGGTGTGTTAATTCATTGCAATGTGTTTGTCATTCTACTATTTTGGTGTATTAAGTGAGAGCCAGGCAAAAAATTACAGACTGTATTTAACTGAAGATACTATTTCTTTATTGTTGTAAACAAACTAAATACCAGAAAAATATTTCCCAAGAAGGATATTTCATGAATTATTTAGAGCCATAGGTCCTAAAAAAACAAACAAACAAAAATGCATGAACCACTTTGGGATAAAGGCCATTTATTTAGATCCTAAAGTTTTGATTCATTTTCTGTTGGAGAGACTATGTTCCAAACATGAAAGATCAAACAGTTGGCTTGAAATAAGAATTCCTCCTTCAAGACAGATCAATTAAGTGCTTATTAAGTACTTACTATGTGTCTGGCACTATGCTAAATATTATGCAATACAAAAGAAGGTGACTTCAGCTGCCTTTGTTCTAGTTGGAAAAAAAGGCATACTCAGTTGAAACTTCTAAACTAAAAAAAGACATTATTATAATCAAGTACCAAACAAAAATAATACATAATTTATGTGATACAAATAATGAAATAGCCCTTCTCTTCAGAAATGACTTCTAATGCTTAAAGAACAAGAAAGGGAGAATTGTTTCCAATCACCTGTCCTAAAACAGATCTATATCACCTTTTGGTTCCCTCAAAACAACCTATGGTATCTTGAACTAATGGTGACTGAAGTTTGACTCAGTATCTTTTTCCTACTGTAACTGAGCATGACCCTATGGGGGCTTCCTAAGACAGACCCCTCCCCCATGTCCTCTGCTTTAGCTCCTCTCTGAAGTACGCAGATAACAGTATATAATGCACATTTCCTGAGTTGTTTTATAGATGTTAAAACCCCCACCAAATGGAAGAAATTAACTATTTGATGACCATGAGCACATAGCCCCCAGACCTACTGGTGCCTAAGGATTGATAATGTTAATGCCTATGACAGTACCCCGTTACCTCACCATCAACCAATCGGAGAATTGTACACGAGCTGATCACATACCCTGGGATTCCTCTCGCTCACCTTGCCTTTAAAAATGCTTTGCTGAAACCCATTGGGGAGTTCAAGCTTTTTGAGCATTAGCTACCCTGGACTCCTTGTTTGGCGCCTGCAATAAATGCTGCACCTTCCTTCACAAAAAAATGAGGGAAGGGAAGGGAAGGGGAGGGGAGGAAAAAGGGAAGGAAAGAAATGACTTCTAATCATTATCTAGGACAGTGGTTCTCCACTAGGGGTGATTTTGCTCCGTAGAGGACATTTGGCAATTCTGGAGAGATTTTTTTATTTTCATAACTGGGGGCTACTGGCAGCTAGTGTGGATAGGCCAGATATATTGCTTAACATTCTGTAATGCACAGTCCTTCACAACAAAGAATTATCTGGTCCAAAATGACAGTTGTACTGAAATGAGAAACCCTGGTGTAGAACCTACGAATGTAAGTGATAAGTTTTGAAATAGTGGGAAATGGACTCCCGTCTTCTCCTAGACCTCTGTTGCCCTGGTAATGCTGTTTACCTGAGGCCATTTGGATCCTTACATAGAAATGAGCATTGAGGATTTATAAACTTTTGAACATTGTATGCAAGTTTTTCCAGTACAGTGTTTGAGAGAGAGATTCCATAGGTTTTTTTTTTTTTTTTTACATTTTATTATTATTACTTTTTAAATTATTTATTTATTTATTTGGCTGCACTGGGTCTTAGTTGCAGCATGCGGGATCTAGTTCCCTGACCAGGGATCAAACCCTGGCCCCTTGCATTGGGAGCGTGGGGTCTTAACCACTGGACCACCAGGGAAGTCCCAGAGATTCCATAGTTTTTATCAAATTCTAAAGGTATCCATATTCCCCAAAAATGTCAAGACCCAGTCACATGTGGAGTAGTTCATAGAGATTGAGACACATTAAACCAATGTTCTAGTCACCTAAAAGAAACAGTAACACCTTTCTTAGCATCATGCCGAGATAGAAGTAGAGTTTAAGTTTCAAGGATTAAAATTAACCAGAGAATACATTTTGGCAGGGGGAAAAAACACTCTAAATATATTACTTAATTTAGTATTTTGGAGTAATAAAATCTTTCTTAATGTATGAGGAAATTAGAATACCTTAAGGATTATTATTTAAACATCATATTTAATAACACAATACTGTGCATTTAGAATTTGAGACTGGACTGTGTGCTGACCCACAGGCATAATATATAAATTGTTTTATTTTGCTGTTCGAACTCAACTTGTTTTGTCAGGATTTGCTTCTTTGTCCCAAATGAGGATCCAAGTTTACATTTCCTAAGGTGCTATGTATCTGTTGATTCAGTCAGAGATCTGGATATGTTTTATACAGTTCACATTTCTCCTGAAAACTGTTTAGTAAAGTGATTGTGTTTTTCTTATAAGAAACATTTTTGAATTGAGAGTTGTGTTTCTGATTTGGCATCCCGTAAATCAGAGAGTATCCCATAAATCAGGCATACCAGCAGTATGTCAGGAAAACAAATCTACATAACCTTGAGTATGCATATACCTTAATACTTTTCTAACTTACAGAAATTTAGAGATTAAGTCTTGGCTTAAGAGCCAGGGACCTTATAGATCATCTGTTCCAGCTGTTTCTGCTGTTCTTTGGGGCTCAGGACCCAAAGTACCACTTTTAGCTGTTTTGTGTATTTGGACTTCTACCAAATATTTTCTTTTAGGAGAAAAAAGGTGTATGCGGGAGGAGGGAGTTGCATGCTTCTGATCCAGACTAACCTCATTTTGCAGATAAGGAACCTGAGGCCCAAAACTTTAGATTTTATTCGTGGGCTATACGTTTCTTTATTTTATATCAAACCAGCATTTCACATGTATCTGGTAATAGTATAGAGGACAGTTAGGAGTTAAAATTGTAGCTGTATGGCTTCCTAGTTGTGTGTTCTTAGGCAAGTTGCTGAACGTTCTCAGTCTCAGTATACTCATCAGGGGAAAGGGGAATTATTATATCCTTAGGTTGGTTTTCACTTGCTTAGAATTTAGAATGTATCTGGAAAGATAATCTGGGTTGACCTTGTCTCTAGATTCATTCCATTAATTTTTTAATGGATTTTGCGTCCTCTAAATGTTAAAACTCCCTCTCCCCAAACCCAACCATGACCTCCCCAAAACACTACAAAGTAAAACAAACATCTGTATTATCAAAGGGGATAACACAGTGGTCACGTTTCCTTTACTTTGACAGTAATGAGGTCTTCATGAACTGATAGATCAGCCTTGGGGCCTTTTCTTTCTTCTCACCCCACTCTAGTTATTTCATAAGCCACCTAGACACATGAATCAGGAACTGCAGAATATAATGAACAAGGACCTTGAGAGATAGCTACAAGATCGAATAACATCATTGAAAGAACTTAAACATACAGGGTGGAATCTGAACTTGATACTCCTTTTGATCTTAAAGATGTGGATTCACAGAGTGAGTTCTTGAGGAGAAATTACAGGAATTCTTTCTTCCTGGGGCATTTCAACAGGGATTGCCTTACTAATCAATTTTTGTTAGTCACTTGTAGTTTCCAGGGAATACAGTCTTTTACTTGGGCAAAGAAGCAAGTAGAAATAATTATGTTAAAGACCACTTACCTTTTGTTACCCAAGATTAATTAGTAGTCATATCCTGAGAAGATTTTGTTCCAGAATTTTTCTTAGTGTCTCAAGCAATTCAATTAAGTACAGAGAAATGAATTTTGAGCTTAAATAAAGGAGTTTTCTTTAGTAGCTTGACCATATATTTATTTGCTGAGTTGGTTTGTTCATTTCAGTTTGGTTAGGTTTATTGTCATTTGTTGTTGGGAAATAGCTTTGATATAGATTGATACTACTTTACTCTGTGACATTGTAGTGTTGCATTTTATCTTGTTACTCTAGTAAATACATGTAAATTACCTTTTTTGGTAAATTGCATTTTTCAGTGAATGAAGCTTTTAAACTAACCTATCTGTGTTTTCTCTTAGGCCTTAAAGAAAGTGCAGAAGAGATGGTCAAAAACAAATTGGAAGGAAAGGATAAACTGACCCCATGGGAACAATTTTTAGAGAAGAAGAAAGAGAAAAAAAGACTGAAAAAGAAACAAAAGGTATCAGTGATAATCATGACTGAATAATTCCGAATAATTATTGAGCAACCACTAAGTATCAGAAGGTACCAGGTGCTTGGCATCTAGTATCTCATAATGTGACCACTCACTGCGGTGGGTGAAGTGTTTTCTGCAAGGCTGCATAATGATACACGAAGCCTGTATCATTTAACCTAACTGCCTTGCTCTAATATTTTACATTTATGTGCTACCTAAATAAATGCATAGTTTAGTCGATTTCTAGATGTAAGACAGTTTGATTCTATTCTGTGTTTTTGAGGAAGAGAGGTACATACAGACATTTTTACTTGAGGATGTATACATAGAGAAATTTTCAACATGAATGAAATTTTTTCTTTGTATTTCCATTTCTCAAGCTGCGTTTTTCACTTTTCAGTATTATTTTATTGTATAGATCTTTTAACATCATATTGTCATTAGATCCCTTTATCAGGGATATTTTCTCTGTGCTAATATGTTGTCTGTGAAAAATCTGATTTGACTCCTATCATTCAGGGATAACATCTTTCCAGAGTTAGAGTCCTTAGTAATAGCAGAGACCACTTAGGGTTTTTGCCAATAAGAGTACTCTATCTTGTCAACGAAATGCAGCATTCTAGCAATGCATTTATTGTCTTAAGATGGTACCACTAATCACAGAATTTTACAACTTTTAGGAATCTTAAATGATTAGTTTTAGTCCAACCCTGATGTTTTATAGTTGTAGAAAATTAAGTGATTCGTCTGAGGATACACAGCTTGTTAATGGCCAAGCTGAGACCAGAAACCAGATCTCTTGCTCCAGTGCTCTTGCTACTGTATTGTGTTGTTTCTCTCCGTATGATGTAAGCTTGTGCTTTTGGTACAAGAGCTGCAATATTGAAAGAGGGCTACAAAATTGAATGATGCAATGGAGTGAGTTTTGAACTCCTGTTATACTCAGTGTTTTTGGAAATGGATAGTAAAATGAGGAAATGAGGTAAGAGCCCTGCCCCCATTGATATGCTGCCTCTCTCAGGCAGTAAAATATCTTTTGAGTGGAATAATTCCACAAGTTATTAAGCCATCAGTTTATTGGAAGACTTACAAATGAGTCTTTATGGGGTCAATAAAGTAGTCATTCTTTTCTGAGATCTTTAGCAGCTATTGTCTTTGATTTTCACTTGGTGCTTTGAGATTATCTTCTGCTTTAACGCTTTCCCTTCATTGGGCTTAGACTGGACTCATTTTATCAATAATATTAAAAATACATCAGTTGAGTGCCCAGTTTGTTCTAGACTCAGCTCTATACTGGACTTGGTGATTCCAGCAGATCTCTTCCACCTGCCCAGGTTCTTCACATATAGAAGAGTTCAAGACTTCAAGTTAAAAATACTTTTTCCCCTTTTCCTCTTCGTGACTTCAATTTGATATTGAGAAATTATTACTAAAGAAATGAATATGTTTATACGCCATAGTTGATATACTATAATTTAGATCTAAAAAACAGTTTAAAAAATGTGAATAAATATGTGGTTAGCTATATAAGTATTTCATAATCTTTGTTAGAAACATCATATTACTGATGAATCGGTTATAATAGTTTGGTGAAAAAGTTCTTAGAAGCCCTTGTTCTTAAAAGGATAGTAATATCAAAATGAATATTCTTTAGAGCTCGGTGGGTCTTCTTCAGCATGTAGGATGATGTTTAGCAATGTACATTCTAAATGTTTTTGTTGAAACGACTCATGTTTTAGATTCCTGGGGATAAACTCAATCTGGTTAGTCTGATCTCAGTTTGCATATGTTCTGTGTATTTTATAGACTTGATTTTTAAAATTTAAATATACTAATTTAGTAAACTGTTCAGATTTGATTAGGGAAAATGTAACCAACAGATGTGCTTAAAAATAGCACAGAAGTTTTCATGAGTGGATTATAGATAAAACAAGGTAATTGTTGAAGTTGGGTGATGAGAACAGTAAGTTCATTATCATTTTCTTTAAATAACCAGCAGATGAATTGCTTTAATGATTTAAAAGATAACCCACAATGCAGTACTTCAAGCTATTGATAATCACTGCCATTTCTTAGTTTCGTGAGAGATGAGGCAGGCCACCTCTCTTCACTGATCACCCATCTCAGTATTCTTCTCCTTGAATGTCTGTATTTTATTTTTGTCTCTTTGGCACTTCCTATCTTGAATTACTATTACTATTACTATATATATGTCTGTTTATGTGTCTATAACTTCTTTTAATAGATTGTAAAATTTTTGAAGACAAAAACCATGTATCTGATAACTTTCATTTCTCTCAAAAACCCTACATAGTTCCTGCATTTATTAAATATTCCATAAGTATTTGTTGAACAAACAAAAGAGTTACTCAGGAGTTATTTTATAAACTGATCCATTTAAAAAACTATTTTAATTTTAGATTGAACTGCTTGATTTAAAAGAAGTACGGCTTTTCTTGACGCTTGTATATTTTGGTCCTTATAATAAACTGTATGTATTTTTATATTCAACTTTAAGGCTCTTGCTGAAGAGGCCAGTGAAGATGAAGTTCCCTCTGATGTTGATATGAATGACCCATACTTTGCCGAAGAAGCTAAAAAAATAGGTAAGCCAGACCATATTTGTAGTTTTCACTTGGAATCTAAAGTCCACCTGTGTGTGCCTATTCACACATACTCTTTTTCCTTCTGATAAACACTTTGTTTCACTAAAAAGTAAAATTCCTAGAATTTGTATAGCTCCCTAGTGGCTTATAAGCAAGTTTGTCCTATGGGATGTAACCATTGATCGGATTAGGAGGGGTCAGCATGCCCCCTGTACATACAAGAAATAATTTCATTGTAGGAAACTTTGGGTAATATGATTAATTTAACAGTTTACTGGAGATGCCTTTCTGGGAAATATCCTTATAGACAGATTGACTATAAAAGGATGAGGGAAAAAAGGAAGTCATATTTTTGAGTGCTTTCACTGCTTTATTATAACACATCCATTCTACGTCTCTCTTTGCACAGACTATGAAGAATTGAAAGCGTGGAATAAATTTGTTTATATATTTGTGGATATGTGTATAATTTTTTTTAATTTTTACATGATTTACATGTGTGAAACAGGGTTTCATTCATAGTATGAAAGCTTTTCGGCTCAAATAGACAAAAGCATCTATGTTTCATTTTATCCCCTTTTCATTTATTCTGCTTCATTATTAGCTTCATTGTAGCTGAAAGCCAGCTTCCTCCCCTTTTTCCTTGAATCCCTAAACTATCAGGTATCTGATTTCCTATATCCAGGGAGCTTTGTTTCCATTGCGCATGCACCAGTCATTCTTTCCTGAATGCTTTCATTCTTACCTTTTTGGTATGTATAAATTGTGTGTGTGTATAAAAGTGTGTGGTAAGGTTCAGGCCATACTTGGACAAGTCAGTGCAGGACCACTGTAAGCATTTTCCATTTGTTCTCATGCATTTTGCTTCCCCCTGCTCTGCATACCGCACACATGAACCCCAAAGGCTTGTTGCTGGAGCAACTCCAAGCTGGCATTGTAAAGAGAAGGATTTCATGAAGTTTCCCTGCTTCTTGTTCCTTGTGACTAGTGGGCCAGAATAGTTCTCAACAGGAAAGTCAAAATTGCTCAGAATTATTTCTTGGTTGTTATAGCCTTTTATCACTGACATTCTGTTGATGAAAAGGAGATCAAGATGAATAAAGTCTATTATAGGATGTGAGATTCTTAGGAATTGGAAAGGGAAATGGAAACTTAGCATATTCTGCTTTTTATCATACCTGAGCAGTCATTTCTAGAAGATGATGGATTTTAGCCTTATCCTCCGATTTCAGGAAACCAAGTTTATAACAGAGAAATGCGAAGCATTATAGTTTCCTTGTTCTCATTCCAAAGTGCTTCATTTGGCATGTGAAATCTGGTCAAACTGCAGAACTCGGGGTAGGATTCAAAGAGTAAGTTAAATAGCTTGGTGGCTTGGGTAGCTTGTTTCTTGGAATCAGCACATTTAAATTGTGAAAAGTTTTCCCTAAAGTTAGTATCCAAAGTTCCAAGGGAAAATGCAGATTACGTTTGCTTGCTTTCGATATACTTTTGATTTCAGCATACTTTCTAGGAATAATTATTTATATCTGGGCTTAAGTTTTCTTTTAAGGAAAAAGAAAAACAAAAGAGTGAATTTTTTTTTTTTAGATAAAGTTAGGACTAAAAAATGGTATCTTGACATGTTTATTCATTCTATCAATAAATATTTTTGAGTGCCTACCAGGTGCCGAGCACTCTGCTAGACTAGAGATACAGCACTAATAATACAAGCTAAGTTACATCCTTTAAGTAGATTATAGTTTTAGGGAAGACATGCTAAACAGGTAAACAAATAAGAATATTATGCAAATATGATCACTGTTTTAAAGGAACTAATAAATAGGGTAATACAGAGCATATAATTGGGAGGAAGAAGGAGAGTAGCTTTCTTTATATAGGGTCGGCAAAGCAAGCTTCTCTGAGATGGTGACGTTTGAGCTGAGACCTGCAGAATGAGAAGGAGTCAGGCAGAGAGAGTTGGGGGAAGAGCATTGCAAATGAGGGGAAAATGGGTAGAACAGCTATGAGGTGAGAAAGAACTGGTGTCAGAGAAATGGAAAGATACCAGTGTGGCTGGAGCATGGTTAGAGGGGCAGTTTGGTATAAGGCCAGGCTGGGACACAGGATTGACTCTGCAGGGCCTTGTGTCACGGCGACAAATGTGGATTTTACTCTACTGACAGTGGGAAGCCGGTGAAGAGTCTTAAAGCAAGGATGTGACGTGATGTGGTATGCATTTTAACATACTACTGTGGGTCCTGCAAAGAAAACAGATTGAAGAAAGGCATTGGTGAGAGCTGAGAGACCAGGCTTTTGTAGAGGTCTAGAGGTGATGGTTGGTCTAGACAGCACGACGGTAATGGAATTGGAAGGAGAAAAGTAAATGGGATTCTAGATATATTTTGGAGGTAGACTTGCCGATCTTTTTATTTGGATAAGGAAGGCATTTAGCATAACTCCTAGATTCCGACTTAGGAATCGGTAGCCTCTAAATAGTATTTCAAACCATGGAACAAGGGGTAGAAAGCATTGGTAAGAGAGGGAGGTGCAGGTTTGGGCTCTGAAGTCAGGAGGCTGCGTAAGGTACTCTGTCCTCCTGGAGAAGGTACTACCTGGAAGGTAGGGGGAAAGTTTATGAAACAGAAGGAACCGCCATGAAATAGGAGGAAAAGCATTAGTGTTTGGAAGGGTGTATAGTTCAGTTCCATGGTTGAGCAGGACAGAGACATTTTAAGCCAGGATACCTTTGCCCTAGGCAATCCCAGAGCTAAACTTACACGCTCTTCAAAATATGGAGAAATTGAGTTCAGTTACTGATGCCAGACCTGGTGCTTGGCTCGGGTTAGGAGCCAATATGAGTACTAGAAATCTTTTCTAATTTTTCCTTTTAAGTTTTTACCCCCTACACTGTAAATTTGCTATAATTTTTCTATTTTTTTAAAACTGCAAACTCAATATTAGATGAGAGTTTTGAAAATGTATTTCTAGAGTGAGTTGAAAGTTATTTTTTCTTGTAGAAATGAAGTATTGGAAAAATTTGCTTAGTGCTAATTGCATAAACTGTTTGATAAGATTTTGTTTTTGAAGAAGTAGGAGTGAAATAAAGTACATCACATGTTAAATATACCCTATTAGAATGTATCCTTTGTCTTGACAACTTTAGATATTTGATAAACCACCATGAAAATCTAATAATAAGGCACACATATTTGATTCATTCAGCCAGTATGCTGGGTGCTTACAGTATACTGCTCATATGTAGTTTTACAGTTTACAAATGCTCTTATATGCATTCTGTCCTCTAATCCAAACTTTAGCCCACTTTATAGAGGAGTGAACTGAAAACGTGGTTGAATTGCACAGGGGCCAGTTGTAGATGATAGAACCTGAATCCTAATGGCTCCCTTTTACCTTTTGTAACTCTACAAGTGCGTTGTGTAAAGACCAAAGCCAGAGCCAGGATCCATATGTATAAGAGCTGGACACAAGGACTTGTTGCTAAAGAGTAAATTGCTAGGGGGCTTACCACTCCTGTCTGGTCAGTACGGAGAGCAGTCTGCCCTCCAGTGAATTCTCTTAACTGCTCTCTCACAAGAAGCTCTCAGCTGAACACTCTGGAAGAACTTTTTTATGGAAACAATTCTCTGACATTACAAGTAATGGAAAATGGAATTTCTTTTACAGATATTCCTTTTATAGATCAATTGTTTGCAGCACATCTTTTTCCATGGATGTATTCTGTTACATTTTTTTGCTTAAAGGGGTAGTGGCCTCAGTAAGGCTTGTTTAGTTTTTGGGGATTTTTTTGCAGTACGTGGGCCTCTCACTGTTGTGGCCTCTCCCGTTGCGGAGCACAGGCTCCGGACACGCAGACTTAGTGGCCATGGCTCACGGGCCCAGCTGCTCCGCGACATGTGGGATCTTCCCGGACAGGGGCACGAACCCGTGTCCCCTGCATCAGCAGGCGGACTCTCAACCACTGCGCCACCAGGGAAGCCCAGATTTTTTTTTCTTAACTATAAAACCCTAACACCTGATTTCAAGTCTCTTAATATTCAGCTTATTAGAATCATCTATATGTCCTTTTTGCCACAGTCCCAGGAGATGTGGACTCTTACTTGCCAAAAGATTCACTGAAAAATAAAGATAACGTTTCAGAACAGGGACTTTCATTTCCCTAGTACTCTTCACTAAATTAGGTCTGAAAGCTTTCCAAAGGGAAAATGCCTTTTTTTTTTAAATGCTTTTTTTTAAAAAATAAAGATATGCCCACCTAATATGATCTTGTTAACAGTGCAGAAAGGGCCTCTACACATTGTTTATCTTCTGACTAAACAATTCAATGTAGCACACAGTATATTCTTCATGAGCAAAGAAATTTTCATCACACTAAAATTGGATATCATTTTTAGCCCTGACCATCTTGGAGATTTTTTTCCTCTCTTGCTGCAGTCTTCCTTTCAAGTTTATTTTTATGGCTTTTCACCAGGTTGTTATAAAATCCGGAACAGTTCATTGTGGGCTCTTTGAAATTATTTCCCACAGCTGTATGTGAAGATCTTTATCTCCTTTATGTATTAATCATATACAGCCTGATTTTTTTCCCCTGCCACAGAATGATCTTCTGCATATGTCACTTGTCCATTCACTTCAAAAGGAGCTATTGCCTTAAGAGAGCAGAGGTAAACTTAGGGTGTGGGAGTCAGACCCTAAGAAAGTGGACCCTTGATGATATTTATATGTATAAATACGTGCACATACTTACAACAGAGAAAAGGTTATAATCTTAAAGCAGATACATCATTCCCTGAAAAACATTTGAGATAAGAGCACTATCTCACTTAGGGGAAGGGCTACATATAATGATATTTCTTCTTAAAAGTGCAGACAGACGCCTTGGTAGCAGTGAGGGGTGAACGAGGCCACACTTATGTGCAGGTGTGTTCTCTCAGCTGGGCAGGGCTGCCTTAGTGCAGCAGGGCTAGTGCACGTGGAGCAGCTTCTAAAGCTTCTCTCTACTTCCTGTTATCCCCCATTAGCTGCGGTTGTTCAGCCATCATTATATGTTCTGTGAATTTTACTTTATTATTTTACAACAAAATGCATTTTAAATGGAAATGGCTCTTCCAGGGAGAATGACATTTGATAGCGAAGGGGTGAAGTATGGGTGATTAACAGAGAGCCTGAGCTGGAGTGCTCGGGTTTGAATCATGGTTCCTTTACTTACTCACCTTGAGACAAATTGCTTAACCTCTCTGTGTTTCAGTTTCCTCACCCACAGTGTGAAGATTGTAATAAATAACAGAATCTACCTCATAGCATTGTTGTGAGGACTAAAGCAGTTCCTGTATAAAATGGAATAAAACAGCAGTACTTTCTGGTGCCTAGTAAGTGCTGTAGAAGCATTAATTGTTGTTAATACTTTAGAGACCATTGGTTTCTCTGCATTTGGAAGGACAGAACTCAACTTATCCAAATAAGACAGTGTCCAGCAGCTCAGAGAAGGTTGAGATTGTGTAGTAACATTCTAGAGTAACAGAACATGTCTTTGTGGATTCTGAACCTTCTTACTCTTCAGAGTAGTTCTTCATACTCTGACACCAATTCTCCCTGAACCCCTCCCAACAGACAAAAAAAGGAAGAAAAATCAAAGCATCTGCGTGATCACCAAGGAACCCAAGATACCTTATATATGTATAGTCAGACTATTATAACAGTGATAGCAAGCAGTTTATAGCACCATGTGCCAGACATTAAGCTCTTAACATTTTTTAGTGTATTTAGTCATCACAATAACCCTAGGAGGTAGGTGCAAGTATTATAATCCCCACTTTACAGATAAGGACACAAGCACAAACTGCTACAGCTAGAATGTAGTTGAGCCAGAATTTAAACCCAGGCCAACTGCTCCCGAGTCAAGTGCCCTTAACTGCCGTGTGTTACTGCCTCATCTAACACCTTGTGTTCTCCAGAAGTCCCTGAGTCCCTGAAAATATAGTCAGTTTTCTACTCAGGAGCCAGTTTTCCCATGAGTAATTTTGTTTAATAATAATAGAACCAGAAAATTAAACAAAGATCAAATTTGTCTTTAGAGAAAGAGAAAGGGTTTTGTTAAACTTTTACTTACAGGTAGTTATCATCAAATTGTCATTATAGAGATGAATTTTTCATTTTGCTGATGAGTTTTAAGAGTTTATATATTAAAATTACCTGTGTTCTGTTTTTTTTCCCTTTGTGATTTCTCCTATTATTCTTGCGCTAAGAAAACATTCCTTCTATTTAAGATCAGGTAGCTGTTCCCTTGTATTTTCTCATAGGGTTTTTTTTTCTAATGTTTAACTCTTTAATACATCTGCATTTTATTTTCCTGTAAATTATGCGATGCATCTATAGCTCAAATTTTTTTTTGCAGAATAAAACAAATTGCCTAGCACCAGTTATTGAATAATCCTTTCTTTTTCCAGTGATGTATGATGCTACATTTTATTACATACTAAGCCAACTGCCCTCTTTTTCTCACTATGTAGTACAGTGTTTTTGTCTTCACTTTGTAGTACAGTTCAGCACACTGTATTACATGTATATCAAATCTATCTTGTTAATCTTTGTAAAGATTTCCTTGAATAGAATTTTATTAAGTGTACATATTTTGTCATGAGTGGATGTTGAATTTTATCAAGTACTTATTCTGTATCTGTTGAAATGATCTTATGATTTTTCTTTTTTAGCTGATGTATATATAATTATACATTACTTTCAGAAGAAATTCCTTCTTTGTAATATTCACTTATCCCCTCCAGACTATTATTATTCCATTCATACCCATAGTCATCTAAGTAATATTTTTTTACTTTCTTTAGTTTCTATATATTTATTGATAGATACCTTGCATTTTTGTTATAAACAAAAATTTTAAAATAAAATAGTATAAACAGATTGTTGCTGTGATAGTCTTATAATTTTTAACCCTCCTATGTTGGTTTGTTGTGCCAGGTATAAAAGAAAAGAAGAAATCAACAAAATCTGCAAAAGATGGCACATCTCCAGAGGAACAAGCTGAACTAGAAAGACAAAAGGTAAGACATGGTCATGGTTACATGCTTAGTGGATAATTGATATGTACAGTTCAAGTGGAGTTATCCATGTGTTTCCAGTATCCCTAATAAAAAAAAAAAAAACTTATTTTAGTTATGAATTTATAAATAAGAATTTCAGCAGCATAGTTTTTTTTGTTTTTGTTTTTTGCGGTACACAGGCCTCTCCCTGTTGTGGCCTCTCCCGTTGCGGAGCACAGGCTCCGGACGCGCAGGCTCAGTGGCCATGGCTCACGGGCCCAGCCGCTCCGTGGCACGTGGGATCCTCCTGGACGGGGGCACGAACCCGCGTCCCCTGCGTCGGCAGGTGGACTCCCAACCACTGCACCACCAGGGAAGTCCCAAGCATAGTTTTTAAATGTCATCTTTTTACCAAATTTCTCCAGCTAGTATCCAGCTAGTACAAAGTTAAAATTTACCTCAAACCCAAGGCATGTCCCTTTGTGATTAAGAGGAAAATATCTTATTATTAAAAACCCTTACTATAACTGAGACCAAAAATAATAGTACTATTAAAACCTTAAAATAATGCCATAAGTTTTAATTCAATTTAATTCAAAACCCTTACTATAACTGAGACCAAAAAAAAATAGTACTATAAAAACCTTAAAATAATAATGCCGTAAGTTTTAAACCCTGTAATACAGCGTTTGCTTTATGCCTTGTTCAATGCTCATTTCTCTCTTTATTATTGAAAATAACAAATTTAGTGTACAAAATTAGTCTTTCTTGGAAGTGTAGTGAACTTTATGCTTCAGTGCCTCCAAAGATCCATGGCACAGAGTAATATGTATTTTTTCTGAGACAGGAATTGGAGTCAACAATGTTCACAAGACTGATGTTCATAGCACTGTCTAGGAGGGAGCCTGACTGGTCACCTAAACTCTGCATCTTAATGCATGTTTTACTGCATGTGCAGTAATGTTCACAGAGTTAAGGAGCAAAAGAAAACCTTTCTTTTGTAGAAAACGGCTCTAAAAAGAAAGCCAACTGCGGGTACTGGTGGTGGAAGGGAGACATAATTAAAGCAGTCTAAAGTGGTAATGGAGGAAGATTCACAGGAATCTCATAGCACACTCTGTATTTTCTCTAGTGTACATGGTTGTTTACTTGATTCTTGAAGGTTTACATTTAATCCCATGGTCAGTAGAAAATACCTATTTAGTAGAAACAAGCATTATATTAGATTACAGAAGCAAATATTAAGATCCTGCCTTCATAGAAATGTGTCAACATTGAAGAAGTAAAGGCCAAAAAAAAGCAAAAGCCAAAAAAAAGCAAAAGCAAAAAGGAATTCCTTGTTCCTAAAGCATGTTTGGAAAGTCTAGTTTGTATCACAAAATACTACATGTTTGCTAGATTTAGTGTCTGCTTAAAAAGAACAAACTGAAAATGAGAAATTTTTATTTGGGGGACTTGAGGACTCTTATTTCTACAGCCTACTAACCAGTTACACTAGGTGAAATATGGTCTGGATTTTAGATAAAGCTTCCTCCTGTCAGTGATGTTGCTTCTAAAAATTATACCCATTACTGTACAGAGATCTCTGGGTTTCATTTTGAGTTCTGGTAATCCACAATCAGTTTACGGATGACAAGTGTTATCCCGGAGCATTGGTGGCTTGGTTCTCCTTTCCTGGGGGGTATCTGTGCCCTATACTCCTGTTTAGGGAAAGAAAAGCACTGTTGTATATTTGAACTCTTTTTTCTCTCCACAGGCTGAAATGGCTTTGCTCGTAATGGATGAGGAGGAAGAGAGCAAGAAACACTTCAATTATAACAAGATTGTGGAGCACCAGAATCTGAGCAAAAAGAAGAAAAAGCAGCTTATGAAGAAGAAGGAATTATTGGAGGATGACTTTGAGGTAACCAGGGACAATAGTCATTATCTTCTTAAAGCTGGTGTTAAATCTAAAGTCAGCTCTGGAGATAAAAATTGAGCGTCTTGGGCCTTCCCTGGTGGCACAGTGGTTGAGAGTCCGCCTGCCGACGTAGGGGACATGGGTTCGTGCCCCAGTCCAGGAAGATCCCACATGCCGTGGAGCGGCTGGGCCCGTGAGCCATGGCCACTGAGCCTGTGCGTCCGGAGCCTGTGCTTCCCAACAGGAGAGGCCACCGCAGTGAGAGGCCTGCGTACCGCAAAAAAAAAAATTGAGCATGGAGCCAAAGCTACTATCTTTCAGCCCAACACAGCCAGTTCATCCACGGGGTGTTTCTTTGGTTGAGCACCAGGTGATGTAGTTGGCTTCTATTTTGGTAGCCATGTTGCACCAAAATATGTAGCTTTTAGTGTTAGAATCACATGCACTGTGATGCTCACACTGGGAAAGTTCTGCATCATTAAGCCTGACTGAGAAATAAGCAGGTTCACATCACATCGCGTCACACTCTGTGTGCAAAGGCCAGTGCAGTAGGCCATGCTTTTTTAATTGCTTTGTTTCTTGTTTCCATTGCTCCCTCTTTTCCCTCTTTTTGCTAAGCACATATTTCTAGTGACCACACAGTCCCCATGCATGAGTTTGAACCCTGTACAGAAAACCTACAACAGCTGTCAGGAACTATTTGATGACTTCCATCCATTAGCATGGAAGAATAGACCCAGAAGAAGATGGGAGAGATTTTGAAGTTGTTCAGAGAATTGAGAGGGGCGTACAGATAACTTCTAAGTAGCGTGGAGAGGGACTTTGAAACCACTGTGTAGCTCCGGTTTCTGTTAAGTCAGCTCCATGTGTGTGCTGTTCCACTGAACTTTTTGGTGAATTGATTTTCTTATGAAAAGTTAAAAACAAAGAATGATTTGTAGTCACATTTTCTATTTTGAGAACTGTCTCCACACACTAATCATCACGCATAAAAACATTTTTCATGAGTGTCGTGGTGGTGGTGGTATCACGTCTGTTGTCCTTACTATAACTAAGTAACTCTACAGTCCATCTCCGGGTGGACTCATTTTTCGCATGGGAATGATGGGTGGCAGTGAGTCATGCTCCCTTTCTGGCTGGTCACCCCTGTGCCTGGCAATGCTTGAAGACCTGGCTGGAGTTAAGGGTACACTCTTAACATGTAGGACCACAGTGTTTTTGTAGAAAGATAAAGGATAAATTCAGGGCTTGTATCTGACCGGATCTTGGTCTCAGGGGTGCCATCTTTCCCATTTTAATCTTTAAATCTTTTGCTGTATGAATTACCCTCAGTAGCTGCTCATTTTAGCACGAAGGTTGAAAAAAAGTTTAATGTACTCAGAATGCAATGACTGCACAAAACTCCAGCAGGAGATACCATTGGCTTAATTATCGGCTTAATTATCTCAGCCAGAAAGAGGTTTCACACTGTAAGCGTGGAGGAGCCTGCCTACTCCAGGGGTCATTCCTCCCCTCCTCCAGACGCTCGGTCTAAGTGGCTGGTGTCGTTCCAGGCCATTGTATACATAGACTAGGATAGTTCCCTTTCAAGGATATTGTCATTGTGTGATGAAAAACAGTGTGCCCTGCACATTGTGGTTCAGGAATAAACCTTAAAACTCCCTTGAAGGGCTTCCCTGGTGGCGCTGTGGTTGAGAGTCTGCCTGCTGATGCAGGGGACACGGGTTTGTGCCCCGGTCTGGGAAGATCCCACATGCCGAGGAGCGGCTGGGCCTGTGAACCATGGCCGCTGAGCCTGCGCGTCTGGAGCCTGTGCTCCGCAACAGGAGAGGCCACAACAGTGAGAGGCCCGCGTACCACAAAAAAACAAAACAAACAAACAAACAAAAACTCCATTGAAGATCTGTGGGAGAACAGTTTTCTAATGAATCAATGCAAAATGCCCACGTTTGTATTTTATATAATCAACTCACTTACTTTCGAAATTTGGTCTCATTTCTGGGCCTTTTGGTTTACTAATTTTATTTATTTATGTTTTCCTTTTGGATTTGCAGGTCAATGTTAAGGATGCACGGTTTCAGGCAATGTATACTTCCCACTTGTTCAATTTGGATCCTTCAGATCCTAATTTCAAGAAAACAAAAGCTATGGAAAAAATCCTTGAGGAGAAAGCCCGTCAGAGAGAACAAAAAGAACAAGAACTTACTCAGGCAATAAAGAAAAAAGAGAGTGAAATTCAGAAGGAATCACACAAGAGATCCATTGATCCTGCCTTGTCAATGTTGATTAAATCTGTAAAAAACAAAACAGAGCAGTTTCAAGCAAGAAAAAAGCAAAAAGTCAAATAGGTGTATGTTGTTTCTTTTTGGTTTGAGAATGTATAAAGTATACAGAAGTGATGGAAGGAATACTTATTGGGAACAGTGCTATACCTTTCAAGAATATGAATAAAAACTGTTGTAAAATTTATTTTCTGTATATAACAGTTAGACCAAATTGTGTATGATTGATAGATTTGTACTGTGTATTTCCACAGATTAATCCAGGTTATAGGATGTATAAAATTTTTATATTTATTACTCTGCTAGCTTTTTTTAAAGACTGTTTATAATTCTATGTAAAAAATAGAGGAGTGCCCAAGTCTTAAGTCTAAATAAGAGTTAGGAACAACTTGAAAATATGTATATGCAATACATTAATTTATCTGGAAGCAGGAGGCAGATTTAGATACTTGTTTAAATAATTTATATTTCTAGCCATAATGAATAGAAGCCAATAACTTTCTTTGTTGTTTGGTCATGTTTATTATAGTTTATTAATTTGTAAATAAAAATTTTTACTATTTTGTATAGCACTGAATTCATTTTATTCACCTCCAGTAAACTACTCTCTGGAAAAATATCTGAAAAACTAACTCTTTTAAGAGGACAACTCCATGGAAAGGCAGTTCCAGTTCTGCATTGTTCATAATTATATTTGAAATGTTCGCGAGCTCTGCAATGATTTTTATGTTTGTAGTAACAGAAAATTCTTCTGTCTGCCCTTCAGAGTTTTGGAATGCTTGGAAGGATGGGTATGCTGCTATAGAGTTTAAGGAATCTTAATTCTTTTTAAAATTAAATTAAAACACACCTTCAAAGCCTTAATAGTCCTGGATTTCATCTGGTCTAGGTTTTGTAAACTATTAACTGACCACTTAGAAGAATTAGGTGTGCTGTATAAATAAATGAAAATAAAAACCAAAATAGTCACTTGGAATGAATGATAAATATGGTAGCTTCTGAAAGGCAGTAGGAGTTTGGCCAAGTTTGTGGTTAATAGTAAACTTAACATTATTGGTACAAAAATTCAAGCCTGCCAACGTAGTATATTTTCAAGAATAAAAGGATGTAAGACTCAGAATGATATCAAGATAATAAGGGCATATGAACAGTCTATGGAAGGGGAAGGAAAAAGGAGGATATCTAAAATTGCTCATAATAACAGAAAAATGCAGAGTATCGTGCGGGGAATGGTGTTTTTTTTTTTTTAACATCTTTATTGGAGTATAATTGCTTTACAATGGTGTGTTAGTTTCTGCTTTATAACAGAGTGAATCAGTTATACATATGTTCCCATCTCTCTTCCCTCTTGCGTGTTCTTATAAAGTGCTAATAACATTGTTAGATAATTCAGCCAAACAAAGCAGTATTTGTGTACTCATCACGAGAAGATCATGAATCTTAATATATTTTTGAATATAGTCTATAATTGTATAATTATTCATATTTCATTTTCATGCAAGGAAAAAGACTTTAAACATCACAGTGTGGGGATTACTCAGTTTGATTTTAAGATTCCTGTGAAACTTACTCTTTTGGTTTTTTAATTGGTTTGGTTTGGTTTGGATTTTCATTTTTGAGCCCTTTGTTGATAAGTCACTGTATTTAATTGTAAATCTCATTTTACTAGTCAGGCACATGATTGATTATAACAAATAAATTGAGCATATAAGCTTTGCACAGCCCTGGCTCCTTTTCTCAAGGAATTGATATTTTTTAAGTAGGAAAAAAAATGAGAATTGCATTATCAGGTACTGCATTAAATAAACATAATACACCAAGAATGTTAGGTTCTCAATAAATACAATAATTGCTGGTAGTAAAACTCAGGATAAAAATATGGCCACTGCCATAATTCAACAAACAATGTGAGGGTAGTTTGGGTGACTCTTAAGGTCACATTTATTTGGATTGTTTGTTGTTGTTGGTATTCTTGATACCAAAACCGGATGAAGACAGTACAAGTAAAGAAAACCTACAGACTGGTATTTATTGTTAATATATAGAAATGAGATTGCTTCTGGAGAATTAATGTCTCACAAACTTAGGCATAAAAAACCTCAACAAAATATTAACAAATTGAATCTGACAACGTATAAAAAGAATTATACACCATGGCAAAGGGGATTTAATTCCAGGTTTGCAAAACTGGTTCATCCACAACCAACGTAATCCACTGTATTAACATGCTAAAGAAGAAAAAGTATATGATCATATCAATTGATGAGAAAAAGTATTTGACAAAATCTAACATCCATTCATGATAAAAACAACTTTGGAATAGAGGGAAACTACTTAACTTGATAAAGAGCATGACAGAAACCCTACAATTAGCATACTTAGACCGAATGTTTGCCTAAGATTGAGAACAAGGCAAGGCTGTCTTTTAATCATGTCTTATTTTCTGTATTCTGATCCTCTGACCACTGGGTGGGTCCTTGCTGTTCCTACAGAGACTGCCCCTCCCAGGGCTGGCCAGTTCCCAGAGTTAGTAAATAACTTGCACACAAGCATGACTTTCGAATGCAAAGCAACAAATCCAGAGCCTGTACCTTCAGCCACCTTTATTCTTTTCACACAGTGGGCCACTATCCTCGTGCCCTACCCTAGAGACCACTGAAATTCAAGCTAGCCAATCCTAAACTTTCTTACCCTGCCTTGCCCATCCCTTCCCAAAGAAGCCACAATAAAGCCCCTTGCCCACATTTTCCCCTGTTCTCTGCCTCCTCACCAACCCCAGTGTTTCCCTGTGTGACCCCCTTCCGTGGCATGCTAGGGAATGTGAGTATAAAAAACTTCTTCAATCACAACAGTTATTTCCGTATCTTTGTATCTTACCATATCTGATTAATACAAATCCCAGTTACCCTTAAAACAATGTCCACGCTCACTACTCTGGAAGTTCTAACCACTGCAATAAAGCAATAAAAATAAAAAGCGTACAGATTGAAAAGGAAGAAATAAAACTGACGGGGCTTTCCTGGTGGTGCAGTGTTTAAGAATCTGCCTGCCAATGCATGGGACACGGGTTCCATCCCTGGCCCAGGAAGATCCCACATGCCTCAGAGCCACTAAGCCCGTGCGCCACAACTACTGAGGCTGCGTGCCGCAACTACTGAAGCCCACACACCTAGAGCCCCTGCTGCGCAACAAAAGAAGCCACCTCAGTAAGAAGCCCACGAACCACAATGAAAAGTAGCCCTTGCTCACTGCAACTAGAGAAAGCCCGCGCACAGCAACGAAGAACCAACGCAGCCAAAAATAAAAAATAAGTAAATAAATTTATAAAAAAAGAAAAAAAACTGACCCTATTTGCTGATGACATGATTGTCTACATAGAAAATCCGGAGGAATCCACAAAAACGAAACCAAAAAATCCTCAAACTAAATAAGGGAGTTCAGCAAGATCACAGGATACAATGTCAGCATATAAAAATCAATCACATCTCTATATACTAACTATGAACACGTGGAAACTGAAATTAAAAACACAAATGTTCCAAAGAAAATAATATACTCAGGTAAAAACTTACCAAAACATGTACAGAGCTTGTATGCTGAAAATTACAAGATGCTGATGAAAGATGCTCTTTTTTTTATTGTCTGAAGAGTCTGTGGTGATATCCCCTTTTTCATTCCTAATATTGGTGATGTGTGCCTTTGCTATTTATTTTTGGCTAATCTGGACAGAGGTTTATCAGTATCATTGAGCTTTTGATCTATTGAACAACAAGCTTTTGATTTCGTTCATTGTTCTCTATCACTTTTCCATTTCCAATTCCTGTGGAAGTCTTCCCCCAGCTCTCCAGCAGCCAGATTCCTAGCATGTCCCGTTAGTGTGGCATCTCGCCATCCAGTTGGCCACAGCTGCTCTCTCTCACGCGAGGTGTAGACCTCAATCCCAAGGGAGGAAGGGGCTCTTCCACATTTGCTCCTTATTTGAGTGCTGTGCCTCAGCCATAAGAATAGTGGCTGTAACCTACATTTGTGATTCCTGTGTTCTTTAGAGTTCTCTTTTTCCCTTAGTTACCCACTTGTCAATCCTTTCACTCTAATGTCCTGTTTCAATGATTAATTATTTAAACTTTCTTTGTTCAAATTCTTCCTCTCTTCTTTAAAAATATTTATTTATTTATTTGGCTACATCGGGTCTTAGTTGCGGCCTGCGGGGTCTTTCGTTGTGGCATGCAGGCTCTTTGTTGCAGTTTGAAGGCTTCTCTCTACTTGTGTCACTCGGGCTGCAGAGCAGCATGTGGGCTCTCTAGTTGTGGCGTGAGGGCTTAGTTGCCCCGCGGCGTGTGGGATCTTAGTTCCCCGACTAGGAATTGAGCCCTAGTCCCCTGCATTGGAAGGCGGATTAACCACTGGGCCACCAGGGAAGTCTCTGTTCAAATTATTTCTGTCTCCTGATTGGATGCTGACACCCAAAGATATAGTGCAAAGGGAATCTACTCACCTGAACCATATTGGGTCCTGAATGATCTTTCTACTCCTTTTTTTTTTTTTTGGCCGCACCACACGGCTTGTGGGACCTTAGTTCCCCGACCAGGGATTGAACCCGCGCCCAGTAGTGAAAACGAAAGCACGGAGTCCTCCTAACCACTGGACCCCCAGGGAATTCCCAATCCTCCTATTCCTAAATCTATATTCCCATGCTCATGAGGCCCAGCTGTCTCACTCTTCCAGAGCATGCAGGTTCCCTTGAGTCCTGACCATTCTGGTTACCTATTACTTTATAACAAACTACCCCCAAACTTTGCAGCTTGAAAAAAACACAATCATTTAGTTTTTCAAAACTATTCACTTTGCATAGGGCTCAGTGGGGAAGGCTCATATATCCTCCACGTGGCATTAGCTGAGAACTAGAGGATATGCTTCTAAAATGCCTCCTTCATGTGACCTGCAAGTCAGTGCCAGCTGTTGACCGGGTAGCTGGGTTCCAAGGTGAGTGAGATGGAGATTCTATCACGTTCTATGATCTAGACTCAGATGTCACATAGTGTCACTCCTCCCATCCATACTTAATTAGTTAAGGCAGTCGAAAAGGTTTTCCCAGGGGAGGGGATATAAACTCCACCTCTTAATGGAGGAGAATGGCAAAGTCCTGGAAAAGGCTGCATGTCCAGAAATATTGTTGCAGCCATCTTTGGAAGATGAGACCTGCTGCACAGGCCACTTAATGAAAATCTCCCCCACACATTAGAAAATATGTATATTACAATTACAGTATTTGCTCCATTCTTTGAGATCACCTAAATGAGTCTGTAGACTTTGCAATCATAAGAGTATAAGTAACAGCCCAAATCAGCAGAGAAAACTCTCCACCAGCAGTTGGACCATAGTAGACAGGATCATTAAGAAGTTCAGATCAGGAGAAAGGTTATACATGCTCCTTTAAGTGACTATGGATGAAACCAGTGGTTGTTTCCCAATATCTGTTCTTTCCATCTTCCATAGTGATAGAATCCTTTAGTTGAACATAGGGCTTTCCAGAATAAGACAATTTTACCCATCCTCCCTTGCAGCCTGG